CCGACAAGCCACTTTATATGCTGATAGAGGTAAAGATTTCTTAAGATACCCTTCCATAAGTATATAACATGTCTTAGCATCAGATCTCGAAGCTGTCCTCAGAACTTTTCCCAAAATTTTGTCTGCCTCCTCGAGTTTCCCCAAACCACAAAGCTTCTCAATGACTTGATTATATGTTGTCCTGCATTTCTGCCTCGACATCATCTTCTCCAGTACAGCCAAGAGATCATCAACCTTTCCCATTTGGCAGTATCGATGGATGACAGTCCTGTATGTAACAGGGGTAGGGTCTATACCTTTATGAAGCATCTTCTTCATAAGTTCAGTTGCTTCTGCTATTCTACCTTTCTTTCCCAATGCATCAACCAAAGTAGTATATGTGAAGACATCTGCGTGTTTGTTGATCAGGTACATGTCATCAAGCACGGAGAGAGCAGCATCTAGCTCATCGTTCTGACAAAAACCATGAATCACTGTAGTGAAATTCACGACATTAATAGCACAACCCTTAATCAGACACTCATCCATGAATTTTTTTGCCTCGTGTGTTTTCCCATCCCGGCAAAGACTCTGGAGCAATAAGTTAATTTCAACTGGCCCTGGGAAAAACCCTTTTAGTACCATCTCTCTTACCACATCACAGGCCTCAGTCAATTTCCCTTCCCTACGCAACCCATGCATAAGTACGCTATAAGTAATAGAATTTGGGCTCCACCATTGCTCTTCGCTCATGTTCATCATTTCTCTTGCCTCTAACGATTTCCCTGTTCGGCACATACCAGTTAACAGAGCTGTGTATGACACAGTATTTGGTTTATATCCATGTGTGTGCATAACCTGAAGCAGCTTTTTGGCTTTGTCCACCTCACCCAAACGACAGAAGCCATTGACAACTGCAGTATAAGTGACTACATCGGGAGGGCAATGCCCCTTTGACAGCATTTGGTTAATGAGATCTTTTGCCTCGGACATTCTTCCCTCTTTGCACATTGCATGAACTATAGCACTATAACCCACCTTATCAATCCGAAACCCCTTTTCTTCAGCATCGTTTAGAAACCAAAGAGCATCATCCGCATAACCATGTTTTGTAAGCATATGAATGAGAGTGTTGTAAGTAACTTGATCCGGTACCAAACCATGCTCTTTCGCCATTTTCTTCATCAAGTTTCTCACTTCCACAATCCGCTTTTCTTTACAAAGAAAGGTCATAATGGTATAGTAACTAACTTTATCCAGCAAACATCCTTTACTAGGCATTTCCTCTAGTAGTTCAATCGCCTCCTCAACTCGATGCAAGTCACAATACCCTCTGATCATACAATTATAAGTCACTACATCTGGCACTATACCAACAACCTGCATACGTTCTAGAAACCGTAAAGCTTTCTCCAACCTATTCGCTCTCACAAAAACATCAATAGTTGTATTACAGATCAACAAGTCAGGTTCAACTCCAGCTCTCTGCATAAGAGTCAACACTTTCAACGCATCTCTCAGCTGACCTGCTCTACTATACGATACCATTACAAAAGAAAATGCTTTCGGGCTTCGATATATACCTCTCCGCTTCATCAAAAGAAGAACTCTTCTAGCACCTTGACACAGTTTAGTCTTACTAAGAACCTCAAGCATCGAGTAATACACAACAGGGTCATGTCGATACCTCCATTGACGATCCGCCCAGTAGAAGAACTTAAGAGCAACCCTTTCATCGTCTTGTGACCGTAAAACAGCACAGACTTGTGATGGTTTAAGGCTTCTTAAAAGATTTCTCATTTGGCTTTCATGCTTTGGGTTCCAAGATGACCTGAGACCAATCAATCTACTTATCTCTCTCACCAAAGGATGCCTGGATTCGTCTTCTTCGACATCGAATCTACTCGCATCTTCTCGAGATTGTGGTATCTTCCCAAAAGATTCCAGAACAGCAATATCATCATAATCA